CGTTTCTGTTTTTGGCTAGAATAATTAAACCAATTATAGCTAGACAGGGTGAGCTACAGATCGCTAGTAAACGTTTACTTTTTAAGGTCGAAATATGACAAGCCTTTATTTTGTATAGAACATTCCAAAAGATGATTGGTTTACTTCTTAAACGACTGTCATACAATAGAGAGGTAGTGTGTACATTAATACCATGACTCTTAAACTGTTGTTTTGATATATGGACCCTTCCTGCATCCTCCAAGATCCAACAATCACCTATAGGAACCCACTGTCCTTCGTGATCTTTCGAAGAGGCATCTCGCCAAGTGTAAACTAATGATATAGCTGGGTACTATCTCCCAACCTTTTGCCAAACTATCCCGGATCCCAAAAGTAAAACCTAAGAAAGTAACTCACAGCAAAACCGTCAAATCAAAATGCACCCAAACGCAGGATGAGACTAATATTGATATATTTTACTATAATTGCCAATAGACCGCTTGCAGACGCGATCGATATTGACGCGCGAAGGTGCACGACGCCATGTTATGGGACAAAATGTGCATGGATAGATATACGCCTGTCCCACAACATGGCGTCGCGTGCCTTCGCGCGTCGATTATCGAACACATCTGCAAGCGGTCTATTGTTCTTAGTGAAGCAATTTTGATAAGATATTTTCATATGTAATTTTAGAGTATACTCTTCCTGCTTCTTTTGGTGCCAGTGCAGTTTCACCGGATTAGTTTTCGTGCATGACTTCACAGGAGACAATATTAATAGTCCAGCGGATATGTGAAAAAATTGTGCACTTTTGCATAAAAGCGTGAAACTTGGCACAGATGTTTATATTCATGCGAGAAAATGTTTTAGATGTGGAGCCATCGCAAATTTACCCCTTTAGGGGCGTGGCATCCATTTAAAAAAAGGGGGGCGGGACTTGTCGTGCCCGCAGTGAAAATGGTTTTTCCCAATTGTTACAAAAGCAGGAAACTTCACAAAGACATAATTATATAGATTATTAGTGTTTTCCAGATTCGGAGCCACCACAAAAGTACCTTTTTGGGGGCGTGGCAGCCATTAAAAGAAAAGGGGGGGTTAATTATTATGCCCACTTTGGAAAACATTGTGCCCATATTTCATGAACGAATAAAACGTCCCACAGACGTTTATATTCATGAGAAAAAAAATTCCAGATGTGGAGCCATCTCGAACACACCCTTTTAGGGGCGTGGCAACCATATAAGAAAAAAAGGGGGCGGGGTTTTCATTATGCCCACCCTGGAAATATTGTTCCCACACTCATAGAGAAATGAAACTTTCCACAAACATTGACATTCCTGAGAAAAAAAATTCCAGATGTGGAGCCATCTCGAACACACCCTTTTAGGGGCGTGGCAACCATATCAGAAAAAAGGGGGGGGGCGGGGTGTTCATTTTGCCCACCCCGGAAATATTGTTCCCACACTCATAGAGAAATGGAACTTTCCATAAACATTGACATTCATGAGAAAAAAAATTCCAGATGTGGAGCCATCGCGAACACACCCTTTTAGGGGCGTGGCAGCCATATTGAAAAAAAGGGGGCGGGTTCTCATTATGCCCAACATGGGAAAAAATGTGCCCACATCTCATAAACGAATGAAGCTATTCCCACAGACATTAATACTCACGAGAAAAAAATCACACGTGAAGCCATCGTAAACACACCCTTTTAGGGGCGTGGCAGCCATAATAAAATGGGGGGGGGAGTCATGATGCCCCTATAAAAGAAAGTTGTGCCTACCTTTCATAAATGGATTAAATTCCACTAGGACAATATATTCATAAAAATCTTTTTTTTTAATGTGAAGCCATCACAAACCTACCCTTTTTGAGGCGCAGCGTCCATTTTTAAAATGGGGGGGGGGTTTCTCAATATGCACAACGTGGAAAATTTTGAACGCGTTTCATAGCTGTTTAATGTGTTGGAGTAGGGCCGCCTTTATAGTTGGAAGTTACTGTTGGCAAACCCTTTGTTTTCTTTCACTATGCATTCTTGCCTCATCTATATTAACCCAGTTACTATTAACCTTTCAACTGCAGCAATATCTGAATTGGGGTATAAACTGGGGTGCCTCAGTTAGTCCTGGAAAGACTAGTGTTACTTCTTCAAAATCATTGTTTCCCCTGCCTTTCTTCTGACAGACCAAAAGGGGTTGTGTGGTGGGGGTACACAGATTCATTGAATGTGAAGTCATAGTGGATTTCCATGGCCCTTAAATGTTAAATGTTAGAGTGTGCTGTGTATTTGTAATTATGAAATCACTCTGGAATTTAGATGTGCATGATAATATAGGTGCAAGTACACACATTGAACCCTATAACATGGGTTAGCCTACCGGTACCAAGTCATTGTATTACCAAATAATATAGGTTATGGGCCAATCAACATTATAAGCAATCAACAACAAAATATAAAAATTGCAATTGTGGGCACAGTGAGTAGGCCCCTCACACCTCTAAAAGGATGAGTTTGCTGTGGCTTTACATATGAATTTATTATCTTGCACCAAGTTTGTGTGAAGTTTAGTCATTTATGAAAGTTCGATGGTGGGCAAATGATTAGTAGCACCCCCCCCCCATTTTTTTTTTAACATAGATGCCATGCATCTAAAGGGTCGGGTGAAATCTGACTTGCGCAAACTGGTCAGGACTGGATAAGAAAGAGACAATTAAAAAGAACACGACCATTGTCATGGTTGTGGTCAGTGGATTGCATTGTACTGGGTGAGTCAAAAAGAAAGTGACCCGGATTAAAAAAAGAAAACTTAAAAAGCAATCAAATTTGATACATAAATGAAGTACATGCATGTCTTAAAAGAGCATGTTCTTCCACTCATCTGAACAAAAAATCGATTGATCCAAGCCATCAGAGGTTATGCATGTTTACTAAACGGACCCATTTTTATAACTGTCCGTGGAATGTGATTGGAAGCTGAGCTAAGTGAGAATTACAGATAACACACAAGCATTCAACTACAAATGAGATTTTAATAATTGAAATCATGACTGGAATATTATTTTTACCGTCAGATTTTGTGTTTTAAATATGAGGAGCAAGTCAACTCTTCCCCCCCCCCCGAAATATTGATGGGGATTTTCTGTATGTTTTCCTTTTTAAGTTCTCGTTCATTCATCGAGGTGGGAAAACGTCCGTTTTTCATTGTACTTAATGAGTATTCATCAGTAAATTATCAGTGGTGGACAGCTGAGTTTTGTGACCTGTTTATTGAAATAGACATAACTTGGGAATAGAGTATGCAAATTACGTGATTTTTTTTTTTACAGTTAAAGGTCAATAACATGTACTTTATCCCTATTTTTTTTTAAATGGAGCCTAAGCCAAATATTGTTTACAATATGTTTCAAATTCGATCACATTTCTTTTTGACTCACCCTGTAATAAGCCTAAACAACAGAAGTGAAATGCAATCGCTTGGAAACTGATTTTGAATTGTAAGATCACACCCTGAAAAACGGAATAAAATGAACACAACAGTAGTTGAATGCTTGATACTGTGACGTGAAGTCAAATATGGTTGAAGTAGAATGGAGTCTGAGGCCTTAAACATGTTCAGCGTTATTTCCTTCATAATTCAAGTTTAGTGTGTCGATGTCGGGGGAACAATGTGTTCGCGTGTTGCGCATTGAAGGTGTTTCCCCTTGCATTGCGCTATCGCTTTCGCATTACAAAGGTCAAATACCTTGCATTTTATGTTGATTTAAGCACGACACAACACCATCTGCCAGTCGTAGCTGCACTGCACGACAGTGTAATGTATACTACGGTGCAAGACATGGAATAGATGCGGATACATATTGTGTCGGTAAGTTGACAGATTTTTACTCATCACTTTCATCAGCATTATTTCTGATCATGGCTTACCGTTTCATTGCACGATTACGCCAAGCACTGTGAACATCTTTGGAGTGGAGTTGCAAGGCAAATGAATGAGCAGATTTTACGAACATAATTAACGATACCTCTAGTATTTGTCTATGTAGAAATAAAGTGTGGGTTAAAATACATATGGTATATATTCGTCAGCGGATTTCTTGTGAACTGATACTACAATCAATTTCGATGACTGCGCCTTGCTGAATCCTTGCTGAATTGGATTGTGAATATAACAGGAAGTAGACGCTAGGTCCTTTATACAGTGCAATTTAGAAGAACATTCAATCATGGGCGTCGCCAGGATTTTGCCGGGGGGGGGGGGCAAAGCCATTTATTCCCCAAATTTTTTTAACTTTTTCATTTTATTCTCAATTTGTCATTTTTCCGAGCGTGAGCAGGGGAGCATTTGCATAGCTCCCCCCCCCCCCTCAAATAAGCAGCAATATGGCTTCGCACCTCTTTTTCCTTCCTTTTTTTGGCACCTTTTTCTTTTCTTTTCGTTTTCAAGGGGGGGGGGGGGGGGCAAGTGCCCCCTTGCCCCCCTCCCCCTCGCGACGCCAATGCATTCAATGTGTCTTTGCTACGACAGATTCAGGGTTATTCTTGCATGCGCGGCCATTCAAGGCCTACTCTAATATGTTGAGCATTTCTGTAGATTCTGTTATCAACAATCATGCTACCTTGCCTATGGATTCCGTTCATGAGTACCCCCTTAATTAACGGTTACAAAGGGAGAGTCTTGGAAGAGCACTGAGCGGGATGTACAAACCTATTGCTGAAGACATGTAAATTAAGGCCACATGAAGACGCAGAGAGCCCGGCACTGGCAGGCTCGATCTGCTATTAAAAAAATATATCAAAAGAGAGAGTATTTGAAATGTCAAACTTTTCCAGAAAAAAATACCTTAAATACAATACTGAAAATAAACCCATTAGCAAAAGGAATTCTGTTTACGGCTTTTTGGATTGCACATTATCGGATTCAGACTTCGTTCGACTCTGAGTGATTTTAATGCGCCTGGATTGATTTTTTGTTTGTTTGTGTGTCTTTTCATTGCAGGCCAAGTCATCTGAATACATGGCCTACAAGCTGAACTTCGGTCACTTTCTTCTACCACTGTCTATGAATCAAGGTCCCGTAGATGCTAAACTGGCAGAGCGGTTATTTGTCCTCCGATCCGAGTATCTCTGCTTGAAGAAGCGACCCGAGCGCCATGCCATCAGGAATCTCCTGGCTATGCTTGCGTTCCGTCTTGGCCAGTTCGACAGAGCTCTGGAGTACCTGGACAAGATACTGTCACCCGGGGAGGACCCGGACAACCTGAACGCTCTCGCAAACCGACGCTACATGTGCGAAGACTTGTTTAGAGTCCAAGAGGCGAGGGAGTGTGAGAAGAGAATAAAAAGGCTACTTGCAGAGGATGGGGGAGAAGGGATGGATATGAGATGCAAGAAGCTACGAGCACGCAGCCTGGCTGAACAGGCATTTGCGTACGCCTTTGAGCTCTTCGAGGAGTCCGTATCTTTCGGGAGGTACCGTAAAGCCATCGAATTGTACCAGAAAGCAGTTGACTTAGCGGGTACTGCTATCGACAAGGATGAGATGGACGAGTGGATATTCATCATTGGGGTGGCATCTTTCATAATCTACAAGCGAATCAAGTACGGGACACCCAGTGAAGAAACCAAAACTCGGCTTCAGACAGCGGTCACAAGCTTCATCCGGACTGTCCAGGACTGCCAAGACGAGAATCTGGTGAGTGACTCTTGGAGACATCTCGGGGTCCTCTTCAAGCAATCAGCCGAGCAAGAGCAGACTTCACTTCTACCTTCGCTCCCGGACGATTTCCACGAATACCTGCGCACACCGGGGATGTGCTTTGAAAAGGCATACAGCGTCTCTCCACGTGACCCTAGGATTCTTGCTAGGTATGCAGAATACTGTAAAAACACTGGCGATATGGCCAAGGCATTAGGACTGGTCAACGAATCCATCCAATTAAACACGACCGTCTTGAACCTTCATGCTTTCTGTGTCAGGGCATACATTTTAGTTGAGCAATACAAGGAACAACTGAACAGTTTCAAAGAGCCAAGTTTAAACTTACTGGAAGATGCTGAGAGAGATTTGTCGATCACCTTGAGATTCTTCGTAACACCTTGGCATCTTGCAGCTATGGCTGAAGTGTTTTATCTCAAAGCACTGGATCGCCAGGGCATGCTGAAAGAAGGGCGGGAAGGGATGGACAACCTGAGAGTGGCACTCACATATTGCTCCAAAGCTGCGGCGTGCCATGACGGTCAGAAACGGCCCGAGGTTCACAAGCAGCGCGGCGAATGTCTCTGCGCCATGGGGGAGCATCGCACCGCCCTGGTTTGCTTCAAAAGGGCAGTCGAATGTGAAATTGCAAATCAGTTTTACAAGGGTAGCATCGGTGCACTTGTGAAGGAGTATGCACACGTCTTAAGACACGGATCGTCTTCTTTTACCTGCGACCCACCTTTTCTTAAAGACATGGTCTACTGGCTACACAAGGCTTCTGGCACGTGTCTCTCAAAAAATTCGACTCTCAAGCAGCTTACGCATCTACAACAGATTCCAGGTTTTTGGAAAACATTCACCTATTACTGTACACAAAATGAGCTCAGAGACGATCTTGAATACATTGAGCTAGCAGCTAAATGTGGAAGGGGAAGCCAGTCGCGCGTATACCGGAAACATTCTTATCCTACACTTGAAGCGTCTACATCGGCTTTATTCGTTAACAGACGAAGGGAGAGTTTCCATGGTGAAGGCTCTTTCAAGTTGGAGGTGTCATCGAGGCCTGGCATAAGCCAAACCTTAGACAGTATACATCCAGAGACGGTTGCAGTGGCTGTTTCCTCGATTAAGCTGGACGCTGGGAGCAGCATGCAAATTCCTGACAAATTATCTCGTAAAGACAGCACTATAACCAAAGACGACTCTCGAAAGCATGTGCAGCCGGCACCGACGAAAGCCTTCAACCAGCGACTACCCAACGATTTCTTCGTCATATACACCAGAAGCGCCTCGGATTGGGTACAGCACAGTCTATTGGAGGAACTGGAGGGGAACCGCCTCAAAGGATGCATCCGCGAACGTGATTTCATTCCCGGCAAGCCCGAATTGACGAACTACTCGGACTGCATCGAAGGCAGCGTGTGCACTATCGTGATCCTCACCAAAGACTTCGAGGAGGACCAAACCTGCGTCCGAGGCATGATTATGGCGATGCAAGAAGGCAAGATTGTTATTCCTGTTCTCCGCGAATCCAGGCCACTTCCTAAACTGCTTCTCCAGCCGTACAGAAGTCTCGGGCTAGATGCTGTCGATAGCACTCTTGACTGGGGTAGACTTGAAAAGATCATTGAACAACAGATAAACCTTACTACATAATAGATAGTCAACCCTGAGCACTATTGTGAAAAGTGTAAGAAAAAACCTCGGATATCCTTTACTAAAGTAAAAATGTACTGCGCATGCGCGTCGGAAACTGAAATTTAATTTAACCCTAAAAGGGCCGAGAGGGCGGAATCGGCCCCCTCATCTTTTTCCGCGATACCCTTGCACAACAATTTTTCCGACCCGAGCTTTTCTAACCTTTTAGCCTCAAGTCTTGCGCATCGTTTGATGCCAAAAACAAATAATTCTGACAATGGGTTGTCGCGCAGCGGACGATGTTTCGGCGCTAGGCGCCACGAAAACTGAATTTCCCCATGTATGTAGTGTGCACAAAGCAGAATGACCATTGGTGCATATGAATCATTAATTAGCCATAATTCCAAAACCTTTTACCCCATTGTCATGAAATTTATTGGGTATGTTCATATTGAGTTGTTCTATACAAGTACTGAGTTTCATAATTTTTCGTCACCCGATGGCTGAGATCTGAGGGGGGTTGGAATCCGCCAACCCCCCCCCAGCTGGTCAAAATAAATCCGCCCCTTTTAGGGTTAAAGCGCTGCTACCCCACCACAAAAAAGAAAAACCAATATAACCCTTAAAACTAGTACCTTAACCTTATCTCAATGGGTTATTTACTTTACAGCACTTTTACGTCTGATTTAAATACAGGGTGTCCCCCCCAAAAAAAAAAAAAAGTTGTGCAAGCAGATATCCTTTAATTTCTCAAAAAAACTACTAAACATGAGTATTTTCATCTTGATGTCGCATAGGCCTATTAAGTATACTCTTGTGTTTATTCAGTTAAAATGCCCATGGAATCCGTTCATGCAAACCAGAGATCTAACAGATTATAGACAGCTATGGGTTTTTCATCCATTCGAATGAAATGGGATTAACACAATTAACTTAATTTACATCAGAGTGAAAAGGCCCATGACAATCTGATGCGTATTGATTATCACCAACTGTGTAAATCCCATTGGAATTGGTGAAAAACCCATAGCCTTTTATAATCTGATAGATCTCTAATTTGCATGAACGGATTTCCATGGCATTTTTACTGAATAAAAACAAGAGTATAATAATATACTCCATCAAAATGAAATGCTCATGTTAGGTACTTTTTAGGGGATATCATGTAATGAAGTAAGACACATTCTGGAAATTGATTTGTGTGTACGCAGATGCAACGTTGCTGGAATTGCTTTATATAGCTGAGGGAGTAAATAATTTAATATATGCCTTCCCGAACATTTACAACCAGATTTAAAATGTTTAGAACTTTAACTAACAGTAAATAGCAAAAGCTTGCTTGGTGAGTATACTAGCCCAAAATGACAACTTTGTTATAAATTTTCAAATGAACTAATATTGACCAAACGGGGAACCGCATACATAGGGCTGGATAGCTCAGTTGCTAAGAGTACCGGAACGGTTATCCGAAGGTCAATTGCTTTGTTCAACCTTTCAATTTGTTTATTATAAAATATATATTCAAATGTAATAATGAATTCAAGAGTAGGCCTACTGAAGACCCTGTTTATGTTGACAGCAACACGGTTTCTCATTGGAGTCACTGAGGCGTGACAAGGAACAACCGGTTATGCGAGGTTTAAAGTCAGTACAGTGTATTATGCCCTGATCCTGACACACTGTTTGTATCGCAAGCGAGATTTCTAGAAAGCTACTTTTAACCACAAGTTTCGTTTCTGTTTTATTGGCTAGTTTAGTTTAACTAATAATAGCTAGACATGGTGAGCTACAGATCGCTAGTAAACGTTTACTTTTTAAGGTCGAAATATGACAAGCCTTTAATTTGTATAGAAAGTTCCAAAAGATGATTGGTTAACTTCTTAAACGACTGTCATACAATAGAGAGGTAGTGTGTACATTAATACCATGACTCTTAAACTGTTGTTTTGATATATGGACCCTTCCTGCATCCTCCAAGATCCAACAATCACCTATAGGAACCCTTCGTGATTTTTCGAAGAGGAATCTCGCCAAGTGTAAACTAATGGTATAGCTGGGTACTATCTCCCAACCTTTTGCCAAACTATCCCGGATCCCAAAAGTAAAACCTAAGAAAGTAACTCACAGCAAAACGGTCAAATCAAAATGCACCCAAACGCAGGATTAGACTAATATTGATATATTTTACTATAATAGCCAATTGTTCTTAGTGAAGCAATTTTGATAAGATATTTTCATATGTAATTTTAGAGTATACTCTTCCTGCTTCTTTTGGTGCCAGTGAAGTTTCACTGGATTAGTTTTCGTGCATGACTTCACAGGAGACAATTAAGGGGTCGGGTGAAATCTGACTTGTGCAAACTGGTCAGGACTGGATAAGAAAGAGACAATTAAAAAGAACACGACCATTGTCATGGTTGTGGTAAGTGGATTGCATTGTACTGGGTGAGTCAAAAACAAAGTGACCCGGATTAAAAAAAGAAAATCTTAAAAAGCAATAAAAAAAGCATGTTCTTCCACTCATCTGAAAAAAAATCGATTGATCGAAGCCATCAGAGGTTATGCACCTTTTACTAAACGGACCCATTTTTATAACTGTCCATGGAATGCGATTGGAAGCTGAGCTAAGTGAGAATTACAGATAACACACAAGCAATCAACTACAAATGAGATTTTAATAATTGAAATCATGACTGGAATATTATTTTTATCGTCAGATTTTGTGTTTTAAATATGAGGAACAAGTCAACTCTTCCCCCCCCCCCCGAAATATTGATGGGGATTTTCTGTATGTTTTCCTTTGTAAGTTCTCGTTCATTCATCGAGGTGGGAAAACGTCCGTGTTTCATTGTACTTAATGACTATTCATCAGTAAATTATCAGTGGTGGACAGCTGAGTTTTGTGACCTGTTTATTGAAATAGACATAACTTGGGAATAGAGTATGCAAATTACGTGATTTTTTTTTACAGTTAAAGGTCAATAACATGTACTGTATCCCTATTTTTTATGAAATGGAGCCTAAGCCAAATATTGTTAACAATATGTTTCAAATTCGATCACATTTCTTTTTGACTCACCCTGTAATAAGCCTAAACCACAGAAGTGAAATGCAATCGCCTCGAAACTGATTTTGAATTGTAAGATCACACCCTGATCTCAGTAGTTGAATGCTTGATACTGTGACGTGAAGTCAAATATGGTTGAAGTAGAATGGAGTTCGAGGCCTTAAACATGTTCAGCGTTAATTCCTTCATAATTCAAGTTTAGTGCGTCGATGTCGGGGGAAAATGTGTTCGCGTGTTGCGCATTGAAGGTGTTTCCCCTTGCATTGCGCTTTCGCTTTCGCATTACAAAGGTCAAATACCTTGCATTTTATGTTGATTAGAGCACGACACAACACCATCTGCCATTCGTAGCTGCACGTTACGACAGTGTAATGTATACTACAGTGCAAGACATGGAATAGATGCGGATACATATTGTGTGGGTAAGTTGACAGATTTTTGCTCATTACTTTCATCAGCATTATTTCTGATCATGGCTTTTAATACGGTTTCATTGCACGATTACGCCAAGCACTGTGAACATCTTTGGAGTGGAGTTGCAAGGCAAATGAATGACCAGATTTAACGAACATAATTAACGAGACCTCTTGTATTTGTCTTGTATGTGGAAATAAAGTGTGGGTTAAAATACATATGGTAGGCCTATATATTCGTCAGCGGATCTCTTATGTACTGATATTACAATCAATTTCGATGACTGCGCCTTGCCGAATTGGCTTGTGAATATAACAAGAAGTAATCGCTAGGTCCTTAAAGTGCATTTTAGTAGAACATTCAATGATGGGCATCGCCTGGATTTTTCCGGGAGGGGGGGGGGGGCAAAGCCAATTTTCCCCAAAAATTCCTTAACTTTTTCCTTGTATTCTCAATTTGTCATTTTTCCGAGCGTGAGCAGGGGAGCATTTGCATAGCTCCTCCCCCCCCCCTCCCCAAATGAGCAGCAATATGGCTTCGCACCTCTTTTTCCTTCCTATTTTTGTTTGCCCCTTTTTCCTTTTTTTTTTCGTTTTCCGGGGGAGGGGGGGGGGGCAAGTGCCCCCCTTTTTTGCCCCTTTTCCCTTTTTTCGTTTTCAAGGGGGGGGGGGGGGCAAGTTCCCCCTTGCCCCCCTCCCCCTCGCGACGCCAATGCATTCAATGTGTCTTTGCTACGACAGATTCAGGGTTATTCTTGCATGCGCGGCCATTCAAGGCCTGCTCTAATATGTTGAGCATTTCTGTAGATTCTGTTATCAACAATCATGCTACCTTGCCTATGGATTCCGTTCATGAGTACCCCCTTAATTAACGGTTACTAAGGGAGAGTCTTGGGAAAGCACTGAGCGGGATGTACAAACCTATTGCTGAAGACATGTAAATTAAGGCCACATGAAGACGCAGGGAGCCCGGCACTGGCAGGCTCGATCTGCTATTAAAACAATATATCAAAAGAGAGAGTATTTGAAATATCAAACTTTTCGAGAAAAAAATACCTTAAATACAATACTGAAAATAAACCCATTGGCAAAAGGAATTCCGTTCACGGCTTTTTGGATTGCACATTATCGGATTCAGACTTCGTTCGACTCTGAGTGATTTTAATGCGCCTGGATTGATTTTTTGTTTGTTTGTGTGTCTTTGCATTGCAGGCCAAGTCATCTGAATACATGGCCTACACGCAGAACTTCGGTCACTTTCTTCTACCACTGTCTATGAATCAAGGTCCCGTAGATGCTAAACTGGCAGAGCGGTTATTTGTCCTCCGATCCGAGTATCTCCGCTTGAAGAAGCGACCCGAGCGCCATGCCATCAGGAATCTCCTGGCTATGCTTGCGTTCCGTCTTGGCCAGTTCGACAGAGCTCTGGAGTACCTGGACAAGATACTGTCACCCGGGGAGGACCCGGACAACCTGAACGCTCTCGCAAACCGACGCTACATGTGCGAAGACTTGTTTAGAGTCCAAGAGGCCAGGGAGTGTGAGAAGAGAATAAAAAGGCTACTTGCAGAGGATGGGGGAGAAGGGATGGATATGAGATGCAAGAAGCTACGAGCACGCAGCCTAGGTGAACAGGCCTATGCGTACGCCTTTGAGCTCTTCGAGGAGTCCGTGTCTTTCGGGAGGTACCGTAAAGCCATCGAATTGTACCAGGAAGCAGTTGACTTAGCGGGTACTGCTATCGACAAGGACGAGATGGACGAGTGGATATTCACCATTGGGGTGGCATCTTTCATAATCTACAAGCGAATCAAGTACGGGACACCCGGTGAAGAAACCAAAACTCGGCTTCAGACAGCGGTCACAAGCTTCATCCGGACTGTACGGGACTGCCAAGACGAGAATCTGGTGAGTGACTCTTGGAGACATCTCGGGGTTCTCTTCAAGCAATCAGCCGAGCAAGAGCAGACTTCACTTCTACCTTCGCTCCCGGACGATTTCCACGAATACCTGCGCACACCGGGGATGTGCTTTGAAAAGGCATACAGCGTCTCTCCACATGACCCAAGGATTCTTGCTAGGTATGCAGAATACTGTAAAAACACTGGCGATATGGCCAAGGCATTAAAACTGGTCAACGAATCCATCCAATTAAACACGACCGTCCTAAACCATCACGCTTGCTGTGTCAGGGCATACATCTTAGTTGAGCAATACAAGGAACAACTGAACAGTTTCAAAGAGCCAAGTTTAACCTTACTGGAAGATGCTGAGAGAGATTTGTCGATTACCTTAAGATTCTTCGTAACACCTTGGCATCTTGCAGCTATGGCTGAAGTGTTTTATCTCAAAGCACTGGATCGCCAGGGCATGCTGAAAGAAGGGCGAGAAGGGATGGACAACCTGAGAGTGGCACTCACATATTGCTCCCAAGCTGCGGCGTGCCATGACGGTCAGAAACGGCCCGAGGTTCACAAGCAGCGCGGCGAATGTCTCTGCGCCATGGGGGAGCATCGCACCGCCCTGGTTTGCTTCAAAAGGGCAGTCGAATGTGAAATTGCAAATCAATTGTACAAGGGTAGCATCGATGCACTTGTGAAGGAGTATGCACACGTCTTAAGACACGGATCGTCTTCTTTTACCTGCAACCCACCTTTTCTTAAAGACATGGTCTACTGGTTACACAAGGCTTCTGGCACGTGTCTCTCAACAAATTCGACTCTCAAGCAGCTCACGCATCTACAACAGATTCCAGGTTTTTGGAAAACATTCACCAATTACTGTAGACAAAATGAGCTCAGAGACGATCTTGAATACATTGAGCTAGCAGCTAAATGTGGAAGGGGAAGCCAGTCGCGCGTATACCGGAAACATTCTCATCCTACACTTGAGGAAGCGTCTACGTCGGCTTTTTTCGTTAACAGACGAACCAAAAGTTTCAACGGTGTAGACTCTTTCAAGTCGGAAGTGTCATCGAAGATTGACATAAGCCAAACCGCTGACAACATACATCCAGAGTCGGCTGTTTCGTCGATGACGTTAGACGCTGGGAACAACATGCATATTGCTGACAAGTTATCTCGTGAAGACAAAGACGACACCCGGAAGCATGCACAGCCGGCGCCAACGAAAGCCTTCAACCAGCAACTACCCAACGATTTCTTCGTTATATACACCAGCAGCGCCTCGGATTGGGTACAGCACAGTCTATTGGAGGAACTGGAACGCAATCGCCTCAAGGGATGCACTCGCGATCGTGATTTTATTGGCAACATGCCTGTACTTAAGAACTTCTCGGACTGTATCGAAGGCAGTGCGTGCACTATCGTGATCCTCACCAGAGACATCGAGAAGGACCCAAGCTGCGAATGGGGTATGCACATGGCCATTATAGAAGGCAAAGTGGTAATTCCTGTTTTGCGAGACTGCATGCCAATTCCTAAACTGCTCCGTCCAGCGTACAGAAGTCGTGGGCTGGATGCTGTTGATGGCACTCTTGACTGGGGTAGACTTGAAAGGATCATTGAACAACAGATAAACCTTACTACATATATAACATAAATAGATATATAGGCCTAGTCAACCCTGAGCACTATTGTGCAAAGTGTAAGAAAAAAACCTCGGATATCCTTTACTAAAGTAAGAAAGTACTGCACATGCGCGTCGGAAACTGTAATCTAATTTAGCCCTTGAAGGGCCGAGCGGCGGAATCGCCCCCCCCCCCTCAATATTTTTCCGCGATACCCTTGCAAAACAATTTTTCCGACCCGAGCTTTTCTAACCTTTTAGCCTCAAGTCTTGTGCATCGTTTGATGCCAAAAACAAATAATTCTGACAATGGGTTGTTGCGCAGCGGACGACGTTTCGGCGCTATGCGCCACGAAAACTGAATGTCCCCATGTATGTAGTGCACACAAAGCAGAATTAACATTAATATGAATCATTAATTAGCCATAATTCCAAAACCCTTTAACCTACAGTCATGAAATTTCTTGGATATGTTCATAATAAGTTGTTCTATACAAGTACTGAGTTTCATAATTTTTCAACACTCGATGGCTGAGATCTGAGGGGGGTTGGAATCCCCCCCCCCCCGGCTTGAGCTGGTCAAAATGAACCCGGCCCTTTTAGAGTTAAAGCGCCGCTACCCCACCACAAAAAAAAGATAAACCAATACAACCCTTAAAACTAGTACCTTAACCTTATCTCGAATCAGCAGTAACAGTCTTTTCTAACGTCATAATATTCGCTGAAAAAAACAACTCGAGTTTGTGCAATATGGTTAAGATGTGGTCGTATTTTACGCTGTCCGAAATATATGTCACCGAGCGAACGAATCGGATAAAGGTTCCATAATGTCACTTCCTTTTGGGGGGACAAGGGTCCAACTTAACATTTTTATGGTTTCCTTTTACGACTGATTTAAATACAGGGTGGTCCGCCCCCCCCCCAAAAAAGAAAATGTGCAAGCAGACATCCTTTAATTTCTCAAAACTACTAAACATTAGTATTTCATCTTGATTTCGCATAGGCCTATTTAGTATACTCTTGTGTATATTCAGTTAAAATGCCATGGAATCCGTTCATGCCAACCAGAGATCTAAAAGATTATAAACGGCTATGCGTTTTTCATCCATTCCAATGGGATGGAATTTACACAGTTGCTTAGTTTACATCAGAGTGAAAAGGCCCATGACAATCTGATGCACTGATATCATTAACTGTGTTACTCCCATTGGAATGGGTGGAAAAACCCATATCCTTGTACAATCTGTTAGATCTCTGGTTTGCATGAACGGATTTCCATGGCATTTTCACTGATTATACACAAGAGTATAAATAGCATGCTCCATCAAGATGAATTACTCATGTAAAGTAGTTTTTGAGAAAAGGATATATCTGCTTGCACAACTTTGGGGGGGGGGGGAAACACCCTGTAATGAAGTTAGACACATTTTGGGCCATTGAGTTGTGTGAAAGCAGATGCCAATCTAATAACGTTGCTGGAATTGCTTTATAGGCCTCAGAGTTTAAAAATATTTTCCCCCCAAACAATATCTATTTTTAAAGATGACAAAAAAGTCACTTTTTATTAAATTAATCACTTTTATGAAAAGAGCGGTTTTGGACATTCTTTCGGGTTTGCGGCAATAAATAAATTAAGAAAAGTATATCGTGGTTTTTTTTTCTTCAGAAAAGTGTCATATTTGAATAATGTATTTATGGGCCACATAACTGCGGCTGAGCGATAGGCTAGGTTGTGAAATGCAGCACCCACCTCTAATGGTAGCTAGACAAAATAGAGGGCGCTGCTTATGTTGCAGAAAAACAATGTCGGAGCGTTCCATATATGCTAATTGAGCCCAGGACCCGGCGCAGTGCAAGTGTGGCGGATATTTCCTGTTACTGAATTGGCTAGCGCAGGCATTTGTACCACTCTGGTGACATACATCTACATGTGTACACATCTGCATTTAGTAGGCCTACACACACTGTACACGGTGAAAAGACTACTGAACAATGATAGGCCATGACCTCGGCCGTCGATCGTGATTTTCATTCATAAGATTTACCAGTTTAATGTACTCCATAGCGCGGCAGACAACACGGAACTAACACAGCAGATCACAAAGCACGGCTGCAATGGATCGTTCATACAACTGACAGTTGTGAGTATATTAATGATATTGAATTTGTTTAAAACATCAGCCGGGGGAAAATACATGGTAATATGAACAGTTGTTGGTTCTCGTGGTTTGTGAAGACGGTTTAAGACTTTCTGAAACGCTGATACGTTGTCAATTTCCTAATCTTAGCTATGTTTATTTAGCACCAGCTGATTTACCCGATCATAGATCGGGCAGGGCGTAGTGCTGGGGATGAAAATGTGGGGAGTTAAATGTAAATGGGGGATATAGTTGGGGAGACATGCAGTTATAGAAAAGCATTTTTTATAAACGCACCATGGACAAAAAATATTTTACCAAGGTCACCCCATACAACCGTTTGGTGAACACTTTTGCAGAACGGCCGAGTAGGACACGTAAACGGAACCCCTACGTTGAAGCCGCTGACCTCGCACAGTCTAGACATGCAGAAAAGCCAGCACAGGGGGCGGCCAGGCACGTTGCCGTACATACGCTGCAAAAACTGTAGGCCTACACACGCTGCAAAGACTGCCAAACAATGCATTTAATAGACCTAAAACCCTTTTATACATGGGAAACAATCCATGTGATGATTAATCAATATTCTCACGTCTATGCTTTGGGTTTACTTATGTTTGCAGGAGCAGGGCAAACTGTATCCACAGCCTGGATATTAATTCGTGAAAACAGCATGTTGGCCATTCTGTGTACAATACACGTCTCTCATACCACATTGAGGCTTACATGGCACACATAATTTATCATGATTAAAGTAACATCCTTAGATATACCTGATTTTTGACACAATAGACTTAGCACTTGGACATTGTACAGGACTGTATACAATTGGTAAATACTAACAAAAGTGGTATTATAATGTATAGTCCTTGAAAAATATTGTAAGTATTTCGAAGCCTCATAGTCTATTTACATCATCGTAATATCTTGAACAATATTTATACTCATTAGAGAAAAATCCTGCTGAATAGATGTTTGCTAAAATAATTACGGGACACAAAAATAGCAGGCCGAATCAGTAAAACTTTAAAGCATGTTATTATGCAGTTTGATTATCGCTGTGTAGGTAAGAAGCAGCCATTTTAGGAGAGCACTTAAAAACAAATATTGATTTAATAATACGCCTTGTGAGTAGTCATGCTTCGCTGAAACTGCTGTATTGTACTGGTTTTCATCAATCGACTTGACCTTTGGTTCTAGGCATGCGCAAACGTGCACATCGCACATAGATGTAATCCACGTATTGCTATAAACAGAAAACACATTAATTATTGTACATAGGAAACTCCGAGGCGTTGAGGACAACCTGAACATTAAAGCAATTGTAATCATCTTGTTTAACTTATTTATCGGATAATAAAATATCTTGATGGTGATATTTTACTCCAAAAATAAATCATAATTGTACAAAATAGCTGTTTCTTTTGTTCCAAAATGCCATAAGTATACAAGTTTATAGTCAGAACTGGAACTTTTTATTATCAAAATTCATATTGATGACACAAAGGGCATCCACCGTATACAAAAGTTAAGAATATTCTATAGATCTTTAAGAAAAGGACACAAGAAATCAGAAAACTTTATAAAAAAGGACCACGAAAAACAGTGATTGTCGAATTATTGGTGTATACACAGTAAGTGATAAAATTTCAAAAAAGAAACAACGATAAAACAGTCATCATATTTTTCCTTTGTTCTTTGTCCACTCCCTGTGCAGGCTGAACAAGACTTCAAAATGACTTCTACCGAGACGTTTGGTCTTTTCCTTTTACCTTTGACTACAAACAAAGGCCACATCAATGAGATATTGGCTAAGCGTGTAATGGCAATACGAACCCGCTACTTGGAGCTCAAGAAAGAACGACCGGAGCGACATGCCATCAGAAACCTCCTCGGGGTCCTCGCGTTTCGTCTCGGTCAGTTGGAAAAAGCTTTAGAGCACCTGAACAAAATTCTCTCAGACGGTGAGGACCCCAATAATCTGAATGCTTTAGCCAACAAGAAGTACGTGTGCGAGAAGTTGTTCATGTTTCCAGAGGCCCAGCAATGCGAGCAGAGGATTAGCGAGCTACTACAAGATGATGAGGGAGGTTCAAGCGGTCGATGCAGAAAGCTGAGGGCTCGTAGCTTGGCAGAGCAGGCCTTCGCATATTCCTTTGAACCGTTCGAAGAGTCGGTGACCTTCCAACGATACAGTAAATCAGTCGCTCTGTACCAGGAAGCAACCGAGCTTGCCGGAGACGTCATCAGTCAAGACGAGAAGGAGGACTGGCTGTTCGCCTCGGGGATGGCTTCGTACACGATATACACCAGAATTCGAAGAGGAGGATCGCGACAGGAGGACTCCAAAGCTCGCTTCCAACAAGCAGTCGACAAGTTTGTTCAGATAGTGCAGACAAGCGAAGACAATATTCTACTCAGTGACAGCTGGAGACATCTAGGAGAACTATTCGAGAAATATCGCGATCATGCCCATGCACACCTTCCTGTGGTTCCCGACAATTTTCAAATGTATGTTCGCTGTCCTAAAAAGTGTTTTCAAGAGGCTTTGGCCGCCTCGCCAGACAACCCCCGAATAATTGCCAGATATGCGGATTACTTACAAGGAAACTCGCCGTCCAAGGCATTGGACTTACTAAATCACTCGATCGAAAAGGACCCGACTGTGTTTAACATTCGAGCCTACTACATCAGAGCAAGAATTTGCATGGGTCAGTACAAGCAAAAAGGGGAAAGGTCGTTACTTGAGAAAGCAGAAAAGGATCTAGAAGTCACTTTTCAATATTCACACACACCGTGGCATCTTGAATTAATGGCCGAAGTGTTTTATTTGAAGGCCAAGGATCCACATTTTACCGAAAGTCCATTGGACGTACAGAACAACTTGCAAAAAGCACTTATTTTTTGCGCCAAAGCTGTTGCATGTCAGGATGGTCAGAACCGCCCGGACGTTCACAAACTCCGCGGAGAATGCCTCTGCGCCTTAGGTCAGCACAGGGTGGCACTAGGGTGCTTCAAGCGGGCCGTGGAGTGCGAATCGGCAGCCAGATTGTATCGTGGAAGCGCGGATAGTCTTGCTCTTGAATACGAACACATCCTACGATCCACCCCATCACCTATACCACCTGACTCGCCATTGCTTGCTGATATGGTCTACTGGCTCCACCAAGCTGCTCAGCTATGTCTGTCTAACCATAAGACACTCAAGTCTCTTTCGAAACTACAAGAGCTTCCTCGGCATTGGATACGTTTCGTCATGTACTGTCATGACAACAAGCACATCCAGAAATACGAATCGATAAAATTAGCAGCCTCGAATCAAGACAAGAGTAACAGACGACATCGCAGTTTACAAAGACAAATGTCATGCCTCGACCTCACTGAAGACTTGAACCTACAAGGATTGTCCATGAAAAACCGTCGTAAAAGCTTCCCCGGTACGGGGGATAGTCAAGCCCAATTAAGGTGCAACTCCAAAGCACCTGCTGAGGATAACCGTCAATTACGGGTTGCGTCAGCTCCCTCGTCTCAAGAGGAGTCATCGAGTGGCAGAGAAGCTACTGCAGCAGATCGCGACGGGACTACATCCATGTCTAATGATTCTGTACATGTCGACCTAACAGACATGTTGCCCTCATCAGTAGAGTCGGGTGATGATGCGAAAGAATCGGACACCTTTACACTAACATTCGCTAGGAATCGTAAAACTGGAAAAATAGAACGCATCATTACATCACCCTCTCCTCCGGACACGACAACCGACGACGTCTCAAGCAAACATGTCTCGCCACCACCCGAAAGACCGCTGAATCAGAAACTACCGTACGATTTCTTCGTGATATACGCTGACACCGCAGAGGAATGGGTTCTGCACCACTTGATCCAAGAATTAGAAGATAGTGGCCTAAAAGGATGTTTCAGGGACCGCGACTTTCCTCTCGGCAGGTACAAATTAGCCGTTTACCCGGAATTCATCCAAAGCAGTGTCTGTACCATCATAGTGATAACCGCAGACTTCGAGAAGTCCAAAGATCAATATAGTGCCATGGCGATGGCCTTAGAACTTGAAACACCGGTGATTCCGCTGTTAAGGGATAAAATGGACATGCCTATTGCTCTCAGAGGACGAACACATCTCAAAGCTTATGGTGCTGTGGACTGGGCCTGGTTACAGAGAGACATCGAACAAAAAGTTACAGAGGTGAATAGCGATGCCACTTGAAGTGAGTGATATTCACCAAAAATCCAGCACTAACAAAATCTTGAGACCAAACCTCATTTCTATGCTATACTCAGAAACGAACATCAGTGCATTAGAGGCCTTAAGGCGATACTAAAATGCTAAAATTTACAACAGTCAAATTATTCAAGTTTTTATAAGTACATGTATATGTTTGTTTACAGAGGAATAGCCAAAGGTGTCATGTGATTCAGCTCTATTAACGTTGCTATAAGCGTAATTAAACACTGTTTACAAAAATACCAAACTATAGCACATTTCACTCAAAACTGAGTATGGTACAAAGTCTATCAATTTGGGAAATCGATCCTGCATCCCGGATGATGAAGTGACCAAAGATCATTCAGCTGAACATGAATTTTTATTTGATGCACAAAAGCAATTTATTGTGCAAAGGACTGTAAAACATTACATTCCTTATATCCACAAACACCAAGTTAAGTGCACAACCATTCAAAACCTGGAAAAAATTAAAAGTTTCATGACCGAACTCGGTAGAATTATGAATTCAAGCACGGAACCGTGACACGCATGCCTTGAACATATCACAAGTTCTGAATCAGATATTCCTCGATTAAATATATCTTTATTAGGTTGTGATTTCGAGGGAACATTGAAGCAACTACGTGGCCTAAGGGTTAAGATCGGTCCTCCTGACTGTAGGAATTCCTTGGGTTAAAATGCAATCGACTTTATTTCACCCCCCCCCCCAAAAAAAATAAAAAAAATAAGAGGAATTGTTTTGTTTATCGTGTTAAATAGACTCCTTTACAATGAAATACATTTCACTTTTCTTCTCTCTGCTGGCGCGGATCCAAAGGGGGTTGTGAAGGGTCAACCCCCCCCCCCCCAGCTCTGAACCAATTTGTTTTGTCCATAGAATTGCCTAAACAAATAATGTGAACATCCCCCCCCCCCCCAGATCTGAAACCCCAACCAAATTATACTGTTAATAATGTCCACCTGTACACAATATTCAGGCTGAGCCAGCTGAGTCCTGGTATATATGTTCACTCTTCTGTAATGTGTTGCGGAAGGTTGGATTTGAACAGCGCCTCGTAGAAATGGTACGAGCCCCGCCCCACCCCCATTGATTTTACGTAACCCAAGTGTCCAAAGAAAACAACTTTCCACATTTCAGCATTTATTTGCTGATGAACCACCCCTGCAAAATTTCGTGGATCCGCCCCTGCTGTAATTTTGTTAATAATCATTCCTCTGACAACTGACACATGCGCACTATTGTCAAAAAATGAACTGCTGTGCCAAATAAATCTAGGGCATGCACAAAGTCGGAAGTTTGAAACGCCACCACTGAGCCTATGTGACGCATGCACCACTAGCATGCACTACCGCTCCTCTGTATGTAACAACTGTGAAGGTCAAGAGGGCGTGTTAAATAATACAACGCGTAGCCGGTCCTGGTATTAGTGTGACGTTCGTCTAAGCTATAGGCCCATCCCCCAAATGTCCACATATACTTCCTCAATGCTTTGACATACATGTGCAGTACGAGACCACCTCGTTCAGGACATTAACAGCCTACGTGACTCCAGCGATTCTGTATGCTCACCTGACTATCACTAAAGAAAACTGCAACATCGTAAGTATTATCTGGATGCTTTACGGTGGTTAATTTTTTTCCGAGTTTTGACAGCTCAGATTATACTAGTATCTTATCAGTGGCAATACACGATATCGCATGTATACGTGCATTATCCATAATGCACAATACAGGGTGAGTAAAAAAAAGTGACCTGGATTAACAATATTTTCCCCCTCAAAAATCAATCAAATTTGCAAAATTTCGTTCAAAAAGAAAAAATCGTTCAAAAAGAAAACAACTGAAATTGATCCATGTTATTGTCATGTTTTTTTGTTATAGCTGTTATTGGAATGCCATTGGAAACTATAGTATGAGCCGAGTGAGAATTACAGATTGCACACAGGCATTCACATACAAATGAGATCAAGTCAAGACTTAAACATTATAGTTTTACTGTCAGATTTTGTGTTTTGAATATGAGGAACTCACCTCTTTTGTTTTCTTATAACAAATATATATATATATTGATGGCGATTTGTGTCTGTTTTCCTTTGCAAGTTTTCGTCATTCATGGAGGAAGGAAACCTCCAAGTTCCATTGTTTTTAACGGGTATTCATCAGTTCGAAGAACTAAAATTACCAGTGGTGAACAGCTGAATGTTGTTGTCTTTCTATTAGACAAATAATTACGTGAACTTTTCACAGTTACTAGGGCCAACAAAAACGGTTCTGCTTCCGGTTTCCCCTACCTATCCTATTCCGACCCGAATTTTAGTAGTGAAAAATGGGAAGAAAAACACCCAAAATCATCAATTACTAGTATTTACCCTTGACTACACGCAGATGCCTCCAAATGATTGTGCACAAAAAAATTGCCCCCCCCCCCAAAAAAGAAAGAATTCCCTACCTACCTACCCTATTTTCAAATGCCATGTAATCGGAAGCAGACCTTTTTTTTAAACCTATGTTGTTTTCATGAGCGGGCCACATGGTATTTTTCAATGTTTTTTTCTTATTCTGTCACTTTTTTTTACTCACTATGTAGTCTCAATAGAGTCATAATACACGATCACTCTCCTTTTTTTTAATGTCTATGGATTTGATCGAATGACAAACTTACTCAAATATATTGTTCCTTTCACAGGGGTTTTTAAAAATCACAAAGGTGTTTGTTGCCTCAATAATACAAAAGTCAACAATTTTAGAATGAGTCACATGACAAACATTTACAGGCCCCTGGAATAAGGCAATATCATGCGTATATTATTTGTCTATTTGGGTCAACACTCAAATATGCGCCGGTATTTCTCATTCGGTTGACGGAAGGGAATTCCCATCGCGCACGCAATAATAAACTCGCCCCAAGTCCATGGCCGAACTCGACGCGGCGAACCGAATAAAGTGCGCCCTCTTATGCGGCACCGGAGTAGCGTGAATTTCGGTTTCTATGAAAATCGGACTCATTGGTAATACTGCGCATGCGTAAGTATGATAATTTGAAAAGTGACAGGTCACGTGAGAGGGATTAACCAATAAAAGGGAAAAGGGGTAAGATTTTCATAGGAGTCGGATTTTCATGTGACACCGGCAGTATTTCTCATTCGGTTGACAAAAGGGAATTTCCATCGCGCACGTAATCATAGAATCGCCCAAAGTCCATGACCAGGCACGACAAATAAACTGACGATTTACATATTTAATAAATGCCTCACTAACTATTCTTTGGGAAATTAACCGTTCGCGAAGTTTATTTGATACTTTGAATGTGTTAATGGTGTAACTCAGACTCGAATAATAGTAAGAAATTTTTAATTTACTTTTTACCAACAAAATCAGGGTAAATAAGAAAAGGTCGTTCAAAAATAATGGTTCGTTTGTTACAGTTATGTTTGACTGAACAACACTGATTGCAAAAAGGTTCGTCATGTAGGCAAATTTCTCATTATAATTAACACCTATGATAGTAGCTTATTGAACAAAAATAATTTTATTTTTAAAAATTCGAGTGCTATGAATGCAGGGCTGTTTAGGCTCTGACTGAAATATAAAAAAAAACTAATCGGACTGTGACGAAAGCTCTTACGAAAATAAATAAAATGGCTTTTCACATTATGGCACTTTAATTTCAATTTACAGAACACTGCAACCATGTCTTCTGCAGAGACATTCGGCCACTTCCTGTTGCCTATGACAATGAACAAGGGTCACATCGAAACCAAGCTCGCTGATTACGTGTTCAAAGTAAGAAGCCGTTACCTTGAGTTGAAAGAGAACCGACCAGAGAGACATGCCCTTAGGAATCTACTGGGAATGCTGGCTTTTCGAATCGGCCAATTTGAAGAAGCTCTTGGATACTTGGACAAAATCCTTTCCGCCGGAGAAGATCCGGAGAACTTGAACGCTCTGGCAAACCGTAAGTACATGTGCGAGAAACTATTTAGGCTCCCAGAGGCCAGGGAGAGCGAGCGGAAAATTCTCGAGCTGACAACTGAAGATGGAACAGAAGAATCTAAGAACAGGTGTAGACGGCTACGTGCTCGTAGTCTGGCTGAGCAGGCGTTTGCCTACTCGTTCGAGCTTTTTGGCGAATCGGTGACTGTTGAACGGTATTGTAAATCGGTAGAATTGTACGACCAGGCCACTCAACTGGCTGGAAATTCAATCTGTCAGGAGGATAGGGAAGATTGGGCAATAGTGTATGGAATGGATTGCCACAAGATTTACACAAAATGTAAACGGGACTCGTCTTTGAGAGACCAAAGCACGACGTGGTGTGAAAAAGCTGTCAATAACTTCTTGCTTATCATACAAGAAAGTCAGGACATTAGGTTGCTGAGTGAGAGTTGGCGTCATCTTGGAGAGCTCTTTAAGAATCCTAGACATTTACCCTCTATCCCTAAAAACATGCTAAGATACGTGGAAAGACCTGAAGATTGTTTTGAAGAAGCTTTGGAAATCTCAAAGGGTGATTCAAGAATTCTTGCTAGATATGCTGCACACTTCAAACATAAGGGCAACTATTCCATGGCGATGTTGAAGGTTAATGAATCTATTATGAAGGACAGAAGCGACTTTAACAACCACGCCTACTTTGTGAGAGCAAGTATCTGGCTCGAAACTTATAAGAATCAATTAAAAAACATGAAGAGGCGTCCTTTAGAACTTCCCAACCCAAACCTTCTCGAAAATGCCGAAAGTGATTTGAAGATAGCTCACCAGCAATCCGACACACCCTGGCATTTGCACTGCATGGCGGAGGTACTGTACCACAAAGCGAAGGATCCAAACGAGCAGGCGAAACAGGGAGCGAAACGGAAGGCAAATCTGCAGCTAGCTCTGACATACTGCGCCAAAGCTGTGACATGTCAAGATGGCCAGAAGCAAGCACAGTATCACAGGCTGCGAGGTGACTGTCTTTGTGCCATGGGTGAACATCAGGCGGCTTTAGGGTGCTACAAGAGGGCTCTAGAATGCGAGATAAGTGTTCATTACTTCCTTGGTAGTGGCAATTCCCTGGTGATTGAGTTCGAACATATCCTTAAAGAAAACACATCTTTGATTGAGGATTCGCACTTTCTAGATGACATGGTCTATTGGCTTCACAAGGTAGCAAATATTTGCCTCTCCATCCGATGGACCCTTTGGAATCTCCAAAACTTGAAGCAGCTTCCTGTCCAATGGAAGACATTTGTCAAGTACTGTGAGGACAACGGATACGAGTCAAAAATTCAAACCATCGAGCTTGCAGCTGTTGACGTGACGAAGCGACAAAGACAATCTGGAACTCAGCGGCTGTACTCATTTCCTTTGACGGAAGACAGAGCTTCACCCGAGAGATCAATCCGTAGACATCAAAGCTATCCTGGGACCCACAGCTTTGACATTGAAGCGTCCGTGTTTGCACCTGATGAAACTGCCGGAGTTCAGACTGAAATTGACCAAGAAAAGGTCGTTGAAACCTTGCCTGGAGGGAAAGTAGCTGAAGGTGCAGTTGTTTCTCCAGGAGCATCTGCGGCATCCGAAGTTCCCATCACTGATAAAATCGGCAAAGATGTCCTGACTGTGCCTCAACACCTGTCTCAAGTAGACCTTGATGGGAATGAGGAGCATCCTATTGCTCCCGACACGATCCACGTCACTTACTCGGTGAACCTCAAGACTGGCAAAACGCATCACGTAGCCACGAGGCCGTCTCCTGAGGAACCACCAACTGAAGTTGTCTCCAAGAAGCACGTCCGCGTGGCGCCTGAAAGACCGCTGAACCATCTGGAACGGAAGTATGACTTCTTTGTCATCTACAGCAGCAGTGCCTCGGAATGGGTGCAACACCACATGCTAGAAGAACTGGAAGGAACCGGTTTTAAAGGCTGCATCAAAGATCGCGACTTCGAACTTGGCAAACCCAGGCTCGATAACTACTCAAACAGCATAGAGGATAGTGTCTGTATCATCATTGTACTGACAAGGGACTTCGAAACCAACAAAAATGACGTCAGGGGTATGCATATGGCATTGGACAGTGATCGGCTGGTTATCCCTGTTCTTCGTGAAGACAGGGTCATGCCACCGGTGCTCAAATCAATCGAGCACCTCGATGCAACAGGTGCTGTTGACTGGCCTAGATTGGAAAGATGTATTGAGCAACAGGTTAAACTTGAGGTTCTTTGGGACGCTTAATAATCAATCCATCGACGTTGTAGCTGTTATGAAAGCACAGAGCTCAGTACATAATTTCCTGTAGGTTGGGCTTAAAATGTGGGAGGGGAAGTTTTTTTTTTTACATCGGGGGAGACGCAAATATACGTTTATGTAAATGGCCTGGGTTTTTTTTAGCTTTCTCTAACGCTTATCATGTTCACACGTTTATCAGTATAATGTGATACCAAAGAGTAAATGCAAACGCCAGTAATGAGGTAGAGGACCCGAAAACTGAAGCAACCGTCGAAAGCAAATGCTTCGAGTTTTTAAACTGTAAATATCATATATAAGCTGTAGTAAGTCTATAATTATGGTTCTCCTATCCTTCACTCATCAGTCGTTCGTCATGTACAAAGCTAGATGTTCTGATGTTAAAGAAACACCATAATTGTGCCTATTACGTGACTCACCCGTGGCTCACAATGAACTTAACATGAACTTACAGACGTTTGATAAACTGTTTATCGGAGATAATTCCGACCCGTTTGAGCTGTTACACATGATGAGGTACTTCGACAATTTCTAGGGTTGCATCGGTCTAAGTTTCCTGGTCCAGACAAATTGTTGTCCTCACAAAACTGTATACAACAGCTCACTGTGCTCGTAAGTTCAAGTGTATCCTGCACGGATTCAATGCGTTCTAAATTACCATAAATATAACATCATGTAATTTCCAGTTTTAGTAAAGTTTTATCTCCATCTTAATCTCTCAACGACACCATCGTGTGCCGCTCTTTATTTCGCCAACTGATTATTGTAGCTCTAAAGGTCAAGATGAACACCAATAACCGCCGCGCAGCGCTGCAGCCTAAGTTTGATGATCGTCTGGGCAAGTCCCCAATATAATCGAGACTATAATATAGTACGAGACAAACTAAGACACTCGGGACTCGTTCTGTTATTCTGTGCTCATCTGGAGATCATCGAGAATACTGCAATATCGTAAGTACCCATAGGCTTATTCGAATACTTTAGGCCTAGTGATTTTTGACGGAGTTTACTTTTATATTTTGTTGAGATTTTGAAAGCTTGGGTAGCCTAGTAGTTTTATCAGAGGCAGTTTTATACATGGATGTTATCGTATCGAATTGCAAATATTATCCATCATCACAACAGTCTCAATGGTGAATGATCATTCAGCATATATTTAAATATAGACTTGTTTGGTAGTAATTTAAAATCGATTGCCACATTTTCTCAAACATATACAGAACATATACCGTTTGCATTGCATTTACTTGTGAAAGTTCTTCGTACAAGTCACATTCAGGGGGATTTTCAACAATCACAGAGGTGATAAGTGCCTCAAGACAGAAAAATAAAGTATAAAATTAGTCAGAATACAAGCATAACCAAAACCTCTAAAATTAGCCAATATCAGGAGCATATTATTTTCATTGGCTTGCCTATTAAATTTTATGCGTGAACAACATGTACATGTATATGCGACAGTATTTCTCATTCATTTGTCAGAAGGTAATTCCCATCGCAAACGCAATAATACTCTTGCGTCAGTGCAGAGCCAAATAAAGTGCGCCCTCAAGATAATCGACAATACATACTCGGGGAAATGCCGCACAGCCTATTCTTGTGCAAAGTTTGTATGATTTTTTTTTTCAGATTGAGTAATGAGACTGATATTTAACCTAAAGTTAATCAGAAATCATTCAAGAGGGATAAACATGTTGGTCATATCTTACTGCAATTAACAGATTGGAAAGTATATTTATCAAATTTAAAAATAATAATTTCGCATTTAAATACTTGAGTATTATGAATGGTGGGCTATGAAGCCTTGACTGACTTGAAAAATCGGAAGATGACAGACCATTTTTAGTGGTTCTTTAAAAAGCACCATTTGGCCCATTAACTTGAATTTTATTATGCCATTTTTCAGAGTGTTTTGTACCTTTGAGTTTTTAAGTTGATGCAAATTTCCATAGTCGTTAACATAGTCATTTGAAGGAGAAACATCTACGTTACAGCTATTTCAGCAACAAATTTTGCCAGACCTATCAAATTTTCTTTTCCCTTATAACTCATTGCTGTTTCAGTGCATGACAGTAACCCGATAAACAAACATTGTCATTCATTCTTTCGATGAGCGATATTTTGATTCAGTTTGGACAGAAAACCCTCACCAGAACAGTGTCTTCCTGAAATGACGTCACAGCAACAACGCCCTCCGCTGTCAGAAAAACATGGAGAATTTTTAAATGCTTTAAAAAGTGCACTTTTCATTAAAATTAACCAATATGGGATGTCATATAGTTTTCATACATTTAAAAAAAGGAGTAAATTTTATGTCATTGTCCCTTTAAGTAATTAAGATGACTTTTCGCAGTCTGACATTTTAATTGTTCAACAGCTGTTACAGGACACTGCAACCACGATGTCTTCTGCAGAGACATTCGGTCACTTCCTGTTGCCTTTGGCAATGAACAAAGGTCACATCGAAACCAAAGTCGCCGAGCAGGTGTTCGAAGTTAACAACCACTACCTTGAGGTGATAGCGAATCGACCAGAGAGACATGCCGTCAGAAATCTCTATGGGATGCTGGCTTTTCGAATCGGCCAATTTGAAGAAGCTCTCGGATACTTGGACAAAATCCTCTCCGTCAGAGAAGACCCGGAGAACTTGAACGCTCTGGCAAACCGTAAGTACATGTGCAAGAATCTATATTCAGGTTCCAGGAGGCCATGGAGTGTCAGCGGAAGGTCTTGAGCTGACAACTGAAAATGGAACAGAAGAATCTCAGAACAGATGCAGAAGGCTACGTGCTCGTAGTCTGGCTGAGCAGGCTTTTGCCTACTCGTTGGACTATTTTGGAGAAACCGTGGGTGTTGAACGGCATCGTAAATCGGTAGAATTGTACGACGAAGCCACAGAGCTGGCGGGAAATTTAATCTGTCAGGAGGAGAAGGAAGATTGGGCGAAGGTGTATGGAATTGCCTGCCACAAGTTATACACAAAGTTCGAACAGGACTGGTCTTTGCGAGACCAGAGCAAGATATGGTATGAAAAGACTGTCATCAATTTCCTGCTTATCATACAAGAAAGTCGGGTAGGTGAAACAGGGAGACGAAGGTCAGGCAAACCTGCAGCTAGCTCTTACATACTGCGCCAAAGCTGTGACATGTCAAGATGGTCAGAAGGTAGCAGAGAATCACAGACTGCGACGTGATTGTCTCGGTCTTTGCGAGACCAGAGCAAGATATGGTATGAAAAGGCTGTCATCAATTTCCTGCTTATCATACAAGAAAGTCGGGCAGGAGAAACAGGGATACGAAAGTCAGGCAAACCTGCAGGTAGCTCTTACATACTGCGCCAAAGCTGTGACATGTCAAGATGGTCAGAAGGTAGCAGAGAATCACAGACTGTAACCGAACTCCTTACTCAAGTAGACCTTGATGGGGATGAGGAGCATCCTATTTCTCCCGGTACGTTCCACGCTATTTACTCGGTGAGTCTCAAAACTGGCAGTATGCAGCTCGTAGGCACGAGGCCGCCTTTTAAGGAATCACCAACTGAAGTCGGCTCCAAGAGGCACGTCCGCGTGGCGCCTGAAAAACCGTCATATCAACTCGAACGGAAGTATGACTTCTTTGTCATCTACAGCAGCAGTGCCACGGAATGGGTGCAACACCGCATGCTGGAAGAACTGGAAGGAATCGGTTTCAAAGGCTGCATCAAAGATCGCGACTTCATCCTTGGCAAAACTACGTTCGATAACTACTTAGAAAGCATTAAGAGCAGTGTCTGTTTCATCGTTGTTGTCACCAGGAACTTCGAAACCAACACTATTAGCTTCAGAGGTGTGCATCACGCACTGGCAAGTGGTCGGTTAGTGATTCCACTTCTGCTCGAGAAGAGGGACATGCCACCGTTACTCAACACAATCGAGTATCTTGATGCAACAGGTGTTGTTGACTGGCCTAGATTGGAAAGATCTATTGAGCAGCAGGTTAAACTTGAGGCTGTTCGGGACGCTTGGTAATCAGTTCATCGGCGTTGGGTTGTTCTGAAAGTACACTCTCAGAAAAAAAATTACACAGGTTGTGTAAAAAAAAATATACCAAGTATTCTGTATTATACGAATTCACTTGCAATTATGCAATAACGCGTGTTTGGTAAAAGTTTACTTGACAGTTGTGTAAAAGTTTACTTGATGTTTGTGTTATTATAGGTAACAGACGATTAAGTAAACTTTACACAACTTTCAGGTGAAACAATACTTCATAACCATGTAAAAATTATGTTTTCTCATCACAAATAAAACCTGTGGGAGCTGGACAATGCCCAACTACTATAACACGTTGGCTCAACATTGGTTTTAGGTTGGCGTAAATTAGCAAATATTGGGCCAATATTGGATGAAAAACCGCGGAGAACGCATTGCATGTACCTGTTTTGCCAAAATATCATGCCCAATATTGGCCAAATATTTGTATGGACGTATAGACCCCTCGATACCGAGCATTTGAGTATCGGATATCCCCCCCCCCCCGTTACAACAGGTGCCATTTTATTTGTATGACTTCGAGGCGCTGGCTCCTGCAGCTGTGTCCGGTAATTGCTGTAAATATCTGCAATATCCTGTGTCATTCACCATTTCTGTCGAAAGATTTTGGGATACCGAAAAAATTATAGCATTTTTCACCTCTTTAGGATTTTTGTTCAAAACAAATTTCATTAAATTTTTGCGCAGCACTATCTTCATTTTGTTATATGCACATGACCCGATACACCTCTGGAGTACATTGCAAATTATATGATTCATGTGTGTGCCGAAAATGATCTTTTCCTAGTGGTGCAGTTTACGAACTAGTGAAGTTTGGACAGTTAATTCTGTCCAAATATTTTGTTAGGAATGTTAGCGGCCTTAATCAATGCTAATTGCTTTGGTCCTCGTATATGTATATATAACTGTATATGTATATATAATAGTTAATATAACTGTCAAAGGACTGTAACTTGGAAATTAATGCCTGCACTTGGTGTACAACTCACTGTACAGTTCCAGCAGGGAAACCAACCAGCACATTGGTCCTCTATTGGCAACAATGGCAATTTCGGCGTAACATTGTCCGACCAATGTTATGCCAATATTGCCATTGTTGACAATATACGACCAATTAGTAAAACGTCGGTGGGGCTATTTGGTCAGTATTGGCCAAGTTCTGCCAATATTGGCTTCCAAGATTCGCCCTATGTATTTTTTGCCAAGTTTATCCCAATATGGGCCATGTTTATCTGTGCTGGCTGGGGTAATTCTTCAAAAAGTGGGAAGCCGATGTAAATAAGGGAATACCCATGTGCTTGACCGGTTTTAAACAAGTACGTTTAAAGCCGTCTAGGGGCCTGGACGAGTGTAACTGTATTAGATGCTTTATGAATTGGAATTTCTGTCAACCATAGGTTCTACCTACTTTCTCTAAAGATGATCACGTTCATAAAGTCGATATAATCTTCAAAGAGTATATGAAAACTACAATGATAAATGAAAAAGGTGGAATCCATACTAAAATGACAAAATACTCAACACTCAGGGGAGTGTGGCAAGGGTTCGTGACTCATGATCAGAGTGTCAGGGGTTCGAATCCAGCAGCTGGTCATATGCTGCGTCTTTGGCGGGCAAGTCACATCACTCCCACTTGCCTCTCTCCACCCAGGAGTAAAATGGGTACCGGCATTAGCTGGGAGTAACCTGCGATGGACTAGCATCCCATCCAGGGGGAATAGAAATATTCTCAGTCGTTTCAAGCTACTGGAAGAAGAGATAAACACCGGCCTGATGGGCCATATTGGCTTTTTACTTTCTTACAAAACACTCAATATGTGCAGTGAGTGGAAAGATGCAGCATTAATAATTGAGACAGCAGTAAGAGAGTAGCCATTTTGCAAGAACAACAACTGCGTCATCTCCTCCACCCCTCTTTCCACCACACATGTCGAAAAAATGCATCATGCTGGCGGGGTTTAGGTTCCTTACCGAGGATATAAATGGCTATAAGGATTACAATGAAGTAAAATTGGAAGAGACAGTAAAGAAATTACTGTACATGGACAAAACATAAAGTCAACAAAGTTTAGATCTAGTGGAAAAGAAAAAAATGTTATTAATAAAGACGATAACACTATAGACTAGCAGTTACAGAAAAGAGGAAAATGCATTTAATACATCAAAGGTAAAGATATAAGATGCTAAGCGATGTTAAACAGAAGTCAAAATAGAATGTTTAATTAATATAATTAAGTAAGTAATATTTAATATGATTATTTGATTTGAATTTTAAAAAGGACTCCTTAATCCCCAAAAGGTTATGCTGTCATTCAAGTGTATTTACTTGTGTCACAGACAAGGGAACCAATAAAGTACATTTATAAGTACGGTTCTCCCATAATTCAGTCATGCACAAAGTTGGAACTTGGATGTCGAAAACACCACAACTGCGCCTATGCGACTCGTCCATGGCTCATAACGAACTACATGAATGTACACAACACCGTCGTGTTCCGCTATGCCCCAGCGCGCCCCTTCATAATAACAATTGGTACAGGTCAAGTTGAATAACAAACAACCTCCCAAAGCCTAATACTGTGTGTGATGTTCGTCAATGCAAATCCCCTAATACACTCCGCACGACTTCCTCGATGATATTCATGAGAAGTACGAGACCAACTTGTCCAAGACATTCAGGACTCGCTGTGATACTGATGTTCATCTGGTGATCATCCAGGAAACTGTCAATTCGTAAGTACCTGTCCGGATGCTCTACTTATTCTTTTGAGATTGTTTGTTTAAGTTTGTTTGTTTTTCCCCGAGTTTGACAGTTCGGGTGGTAGCTCATCGGTAGCAATATACTAACGGTATCGTATCGAATTGCATGTATCATCCATCATCACAATAGTCTCAATGGCGTCACAATGAACGAGCAATCAATAGACTGTTACAATGTCTATAGATTTTTCCGCATTGATTTCAGATCGACAGACTGATTAAATACAAGACAAAACATATATCATTTGCATTACATGCATTGAAACATGTTTTTCGTTCTGAACACAAAAGTCACTTCATCAGGGGTTTTTACCTACAGTAACACAAAGGTGCTTACTGCCTCCCGAAAATCAACGAAAAGAGTCAAGGGACGAACGTACACAAACCCCCAAGAATGAGGCAAAATTCATGGTACGTCATTTATTGGGCGTTGCCTAATAACAACACAGCTATATGCGGCATATTACTCATTCAGATGGGAAATCCCCTTGTGCACGCAATAATTAACTCGCTCCAACGAGCCGAAACTGCGGCGCCAAATAAAGTGCGCCCTCAAGAAAACCAAGTATGCTATTCACGGAAATACCGTACTGGCTGGCCTTCGCAAAGTGTATTTGACACTTTGAAAGTATGAATAGAGTAATAATATCAGAACAAAATCAAAGTCAAATAAAAACGTCAGGAACGAATAATGGATAGTTTGTCTAAGTAAAAGGGTTCACATAATTTTGTTTAATTAATGCAATCCACGAAAAGCGCCTCGTGTACCATTAAACCATATTTAATTATAGTTTTATTTTTCCATTTTCCCCCGCCTTTTTTTTTTTTTTTTTTGGTTTTTATGTGAATGGGAATTTGAATAATCATGAGTGAAAGTATTACGGGCCATAACGTCAATTTTACAGCTATTTCAGTACGTTACTTCGGTACACAACAGTAAGCCAATAAGCAAAGTTTTCTCAAAAATGTTTTCAATTTGTTCAATTTGAACAAAAACTCCCTCAGCTGAACTATGTCCTCCTAAATGACATTACAGCAAGAGCGCCCTCAGTTGCCAGAAATGGCATGCAAATATTTAAATTTTAAAGAAGTGCACTTTGAAATTTTTTTTAACCAAACAGGAGGTCAAACACTTTTCATGCATTTATTAGGAGTAGAAAGTTGCAAAACATGTTCCCAAGATAAATTCATGTCATGGCCATATAAGTATGCATGAACAAGATTGATATCGAGAAGGTTAGGCATGTAGTAACAACTCCTTATACATTTTGAAAGTATCATATCTTAAAACGATTTTAGCTTGAAACACTCGAGAATTTTGCGAAAGGGGTTGCAGAGCCGATGCCTGAAAACCACTTTCTGAAAGGGTCATATAAATACATGTAGTTTAATGCAATCCTTGATTATGTCTCATATGTGAGCAGTAGAAGTTTGAGCAAATATCCTCCGAAGTAAAATGTATGTCGTCGTGACACTTTGTTGAAACAACTTTTATTTCAATTTACAGAACACTGCAACCATGTCTTCTGCAGAGACATTCGGCCACTTTCTGTTACCTTTGACAATGAACAAAGGTCACATCGAAGCAAAGCTCGCTGATCAAGTGTTCATAGTCAGAAGCCACTACCTTGGGTTAAAGACGACCCGACCAGAGAGACACGCCCTTGGGAATCTACTGGGAATGCTGGCTTTTCGAATCGGCAAATTTGAAGAAGCTCTCGGATACTTGGATAGAATCCTCTCCTTTGGAGAAGACTCAGAGAACTTGAACGCTCTGGCAAACCGTAAGTACATGTGTGAAAAACTATTCAGGTTCCCAGAGGCCAGAGAGTGCGAGCGGAGAATTCTCGAACTGATTACCGAAGATGGAACCGAAGTATCTAAGAACAGGTGCAGAAGGCTACGTGCTCGTAGTCTGGCTGAGCAGGCGTTTGCCTATTCCTTTGAAATTTTTGGCGAGTCAGTGACTGTTGAACGGTATCGTAAATCGGTAGAATTGTACGACCAAGCCACTCAACTTGCTGGACATTTGATCGGCCAGGAGGAGAGGGAAGATTGGGCGATAGTGTATGGAATGGCCTGCCACAAAATATACAAAAAAGTTAAACGGGACTGGTCTTTAAGGGATCAGAGCAAAACGTGGTATCAAAAAGCCGTTAATAAGTTCTTGCTTATCATACAAGAAAGTAAGGACTTTAGTTTGGTGAGTGACAGCTGGCGTCATCTTGGAGAACTGTTTAAGAACCCGAGACATGTACCCTCCCTCCCAGAAGGCATGAGAAGATACCTGGAACGACCTGGAAAGTGCTTTGAGGAAGCTTTGAAAATCTCACCGCACAATTCACGAATTCTTGCTAGATATGCCGGACACTTCCAGTTTAAGCGCAACTATTCCATGGCGATGTTGAAGGTAAATGAATCTATTATGCAGGACACTAGCGTCTTCAACAACCATGCCTACTATGTGAGAGCCAGTCTCTGGCTTGATATCTACAAGAAACTACTAAAGGACATGAAAAGGCCCCCCTACGAAATTCCTGACTGTACATTTCTTGAATATGCCGAAAATGATTTGAAGATAGCCCAACAACAATCGTACACGCCATGGCATTTTCACTGCATGGCGGAGGTTCTGTATCACAAAGCAAAGGATCCAAACGGGCAAGTGAAACAGGGAGACGAGGGACAGGCAAACCTGCAGCTAGCTCTTACATACTGCGCCAAAGCTGTGACATGCCAAGATGGTCAGAAGGTAGCAGAGTATCACAAGCTGAGAGGTGATTGTCTCTGTGACATGGGTGAGCATCAGGCGGCTTTAGGGTGCTACAAAAGGGCTCTAGAGTGCGAGATAGGTGCTGATTACTTCGAAGGGAGCAGAAATTCCCTGGTGATTGAGTTTGAACATATCCTTATGAAAAACACACCTCTTTCTGAGGACCCACACTTCCTAGAGGACATGGTCTATTGGCTTCTCAGGGTAGCCAATATTTGCCTCTACATCGGAAAAACTCTTTGGCCTCTGCTAAACTTGAAACAGCTCGTTGCCCCTTGGAAGAAATTTGTCAAGTACTGTGAAGACAACAGACACAAGTCGAAGCTTCAAACCATAGAGCTTGCAACTGTTGACGTGACGAAGCGACCGAAACAGTCGGTAACTCGGCGACATCAAGGTTATCCTGAGACTCACAGCTTTGATATGGTAGCATCCGTATTTGTAGTTCAAACTGCTGGAGTTCAGAACGAAAGTGATCAAGGGAAGGTTGTTGAAACCTTCTCGTCTACAGAGGAGGCAGGTGAAGGTGCGGGTGTCCCTCGAGGGGCATCTGCAGCACCCGCAGGTCCCATACCTGACAAAGTCGACAAAGATGTCCTGACTGTGTCTCAACACCTGTCTCAAGTAGACCTTGATGGGAATGAGGAGCATCCTATTGCTCCCGACACGATCCACGTCACTTACTCGGTGAACCTCAAGACTGGCAAAACGCAGCACGTAGCCACGAGGCCGTCTCCTGAGGAACCACCAACTGAAGTTGTCTCCAAGAAGCACGTCCGCGTGGCGCCTGAAAGACCGCTGAATCATTGGGCACGGAAGTATGACTTCTTTGTCATCTACAGCAGCAGTGCCTCGGAATGGGTACAACACCGCATGCTGGAAGAACTGGAAGGAACCGGTTTTAAAGGCTGCATCAAAGATCGCGACTTCGAACTCGGCAAACCCAGGAACGATAACTACACAGACAGCATTGAGGATAGTGTCTGTATCATTATTGTACTCACAAGGGACTTCGAGACCAACAAATATGACGTCAGTGGTATGCATTGGGCATTGGACAGTGATCGGCTGGTTATCCCTGTTCTCCGTGAAAACAGGGCCATGCCAACGGTGCTCAAAACACTCGAGCACCTTGATGCAACAGGTGCTGTGGACTGGCCTAGATTGGAAAGATGTATTGAGCAACAGGTTAAACTTGAAGCTGTTCAAAACGCTTGGTAAACGCCCGGTTTCAAAGGCTGCATCAAAGATCGCGACTTCGAACTTGGCAAACCAAGGCTGCAAAACTACTCGGAAAGCATTGAGGACAGTGTCTGTATCATTATTGTAATTACCAAGGACTTCGAAACCAACAATAATGACGTCAGGGGTATGCTTATGGCACTTGACAGTGAACGGCTGGTGGTTCCTGTTCTCCGTGAAGACAGGGCTATACCACCATTACTCAAAACACTCGAGTACCTTGATGCAACAGGTGTAGTTGACTGGCCTAGATTGGAAAGGTGTATCAAGCAAAAGGTTAAACTTGAAGCTGTTCAAAACGCTTGGTAATCAGTTCAAAAACAAAACTCCAGAAATAACTATTTTTGTGAATTGTTTATAGTAAAATAGAAAATAAATTCGAGAATAGCGATCCCAAGAGTGCATGGAATAGACAAAAAGACATCACAGGTTTTGGCGTAAGTAATAAGTTGAAGGTGCCACCTGGTGATCTAAAACAGTTCGTCAATGACCTGAATCAATTCTACGGTCGGTTTGACAACACTTATAACGATCAGGATCCAGCTTATGCACAACTAAGCTTGGACCTAGATTCACAAGGAAGTACACACGATACCATTGTTCTCACAACCTCACAAATAGATAAGGCTTTTCAAACAATTAGGACAAACAAAGCTACCGGTCCGAACGGTATCTCTGGCTGAATATTTCAGCTGTTATTTCAATGGTCTCTGGACACTCACACAGACAAAAAGACATCACAGGTTTTGGTGTAAGTACTAAGTTGAAGGTGCCACCTGGTGATCTAAAACAGTTCCCTATTTGGTGTATATAGTAGGTTATATTAGTTCTTTTTAAAACACTAGTAGTTTTGGTCGTCCAGTAACCATAAATTCCCTTGCAAATATAATTTTAGTGTCCCTGGTTATTCACGGGGGCATTTTACGGCTGAACATAACGTGATTATTTGGTGTATAGTAGGTTTTTAGTTAGTTTTTAGCACACTTTTAGTTTTGGCTATTCACCAAGGCATCTTATACGGCTTTACACAACGGATTATTTGGTGTGTATATAGCAGGTTATTATTTCGTTAAAAAAATCAAATACAATAGTTTTGGTTGTTAAAATAACCATCAATTCACTTGCGAAGATCACGTTATTTTCACTTGTTATTCACCTATAACTAGGCACCTTACGGCCCATCATAAAGTCACTATTTGGTGTATATAGTAGGTTATCAGTTCGTTTTAAGAACACTAATAGTTTTGGTTGTGCAGTAATAACCATTAATTCACTTGCGAATATCACGTTAGTGTCACTGGTTATTCACCAAGGCATCTTACGGCTGAACATAACGTGATCATATTTGGTGTATATATAACAGGTTATTTTTTGTTTTAAAAACTCCAATGGAATAATTTCGGTTATTAAATAACCACCAATTCATTTGTGAAGATCACGTTATATTTTCTTTGGTTATTCACCGAGTCATCTTACTGCTCTACACAACGTGATTATTTGGTGTAAATATCAGGGGGGTTTTGTTTACAAAATCCAATAGAATAATTTTGGTTGTTAAATAACTATCAATTTCAGATGAAGATCACCTTATTATCACTTGTTATTCACTTAGTCATCTTATTCATAAGATGGAATTTCGCGTCGGGGTGATGTAAATCAAATTAGGTTTTGCCCTTCACTGACGTATAGACACTGCATACGCAGTGTGTTACACTAAGTCACCTTACTGCTCTACACAACGTGATTGGTATAAAGTAGGTTATTATATCGTTTTTAAAACACTGATAGATTTGGTTGTACAGTTACTTTCAGTTCACTTGTGAGGATCACGTTAGTGTCACTGGTTATTCCCCTAGTCATCCTACTACTTTACATAACGTGATCGTTTGGTGCATATACAAGTTTAAAATTCTGTTTTTAAAACACCAATAATTTTGGTGTTAATTTACCATCAAAATCACGTAATTGTCTTAGATTATTAACCTAGTCATCTTACTGCTCTTCATAACTTGATTATTTGGTGTATATTATTTCGTTTTTAAAACACCAGTAGTTTTGGTTGTTAATTTACCATCAGTTTCCGGGTAAAAATCGCGTTATTCTCTGTGGTTATTCACCCAGTCATCGTACTGCTTTACATAACGTTTATTCAGGGGTACATACAAGGATATTATTTCGTTTTTAAAACACCAATAGTTTTGGCTGTTAAATAACAATTAAATCGCTGGTGAAGTTTACGTAATTGACTAATTGTCACTGGCTTATTCATCTAGTCATCTTACTGCTCTACATAACGTGATCATTTGGTGTACAATGAATATACAAAGTTTTATACTTCAAATTTCAAGTTTTAAACACTTTTAACCATGAAAATGAATGAATGAAGAAGAACGATGAACACTTTTGATCTATGCGTCTAAACCATCTGAGCAAAAAAACAAGTTTTGTTTTTTGGTTACCTTGATACGCTGATACACAAAGAGGTACGCCTGGACTCTATAGGCATATCTCACAAAAAGATTGTAATTAAATATTTTTTTCGATGTGTTACAAAAGTGAAAAGTTTTATTTGTTTTGAAAAAACTTCCTGGAAGGATTTGAATCATACACATCAGGCATTTAAGGTTTGTTTAATATTTATTGTATTGCAAGGGTGAACGTACACAAATAGTTTAAATATATCACTAGTGTTCATATTTTTTGAAGCGCGGTGGTGTTCACAAGTGTAATGCAGATCAGTGGTCTGTATTGTGAACAGCGCCCTCTCACGTCAAAGATGTCCAATAATTTTCAAGATCTGGCTTTTAGGTCAGCAATACAGATATTGATAATTAATATACAAAACTGTTTTGATATAATTCAAAAACTCAAATAAAATGTACATTTAAATATGAAACAAGCCTTTAGGAAGCTAAACACATCAATGCAAAAAGCTCGAGCTCTATAGCCATCCGTTCAGAAGCATAAAATGAAACTCAACGTTTTTAAACACTTTGGAAACTTTTCATCAAAATGGTGAACAACTGAATTTAAAAAGGGGGTTAGTTTTAGCATGACAAACGAGTAAACATCTCGTAGCCCAATGCAGTCCAGGCAGTGAGCAAGCAGGACAGGTACGGGACAAAGTACTTTAGTACTGCAGCAAACTTTCTACCGTAAACAAGCTCACACATCTGCAGGGTTACCGGACATTTACACAACATTTCTTTTTCGCGGAGTATTATTGCTGATGACCGCGTCAGCCGCGCCGAAGAGCCCCAAGCCGCGCGGGCGGTGCGTGGGCGAGGTCGCGCTGCACCAATCGCGTCAGAGGCGCCGATCTCGTGAAGAAGGAAAAAATAAAAATAAAAAAACTGTCTTAGCTTTTTTTCATCATTCTTGTCATGGACTCAATTAAAGTCATTTGAAACCTCTTGTGCGCCGTTTCAGCGCGCTCCTTTCATTTTTTTTCTAGTTCAGTGACCACATAGAATGACCTTTCTCCAAGCGAAAGTGTGTAAAGTACTGCAGGCACTTCGCCTTCGGTTATGTATATCGGTCGTCAAACTCATATTCACGGAATAAAATGCATCGAGTGCATTCACTTTCTACCTTTTCACTCATGCTTATTCTACGCCTTTCCATCAATTTGTTGTAAAATAACTTCTCTAAAAAAGGCACAGTTTTAGTCTTGGCTATGTGGCAACACTTTTAAAAAATAAAAGCATATGGCGAACTCTAGTGGTACATAAGCCTCCCTTAAAAATCATGTGGTTATGTGAAACATCATATGCCTTAAGGCTTCAGAAAAGCACAGCATCACAATAACCTTGCAAGACAGACATCTTTTATTCCCAACCACTGGGCCCATTTAACAGTGAATGCCAGCATTTGCCAAGCAATTAGCCATGAGCTTGGATGCAAAGACTAATTGATGCCCACTTGTAAGGCACATTGCCCTTGGGACAAACCTTCTATTGAAGTCGAAAAGCAATCATCTTCCTATTCCAGTGGTTGTTTTTTTGACTATATATTTAATCCGAATTGTATTCGCAGTAATTTTAGATGGGTAAACGAAGCAGAACAAAGATGACGGCACAGAGATGGGCATTCACAACCTGTTTTGTTAAAATGAGCATCACAAATTACAATGCCTAAACTTAAAGCCACTAAGGGTAAAGAAACAATTAAAGATGGAAGCAAGGGTCGCACAGGGCCGGATCAGGGGCGTGGCTAGAACATTTTCAATACGGGTTGTCGTACCAAATTTGCCGGCAAGTTTGCGCACAAAACACCCGACAAGGCAAAAAAGGGGGTCCTCAAATTTACAAATTTGCCAACAAAAACTGTATGGGAGGTGTGAAAAGTAACATTTACCGACAAAGTTGCAACGAAGTATTTGACCAGCAAAACAAAAAGGTTATCATAGTTTTAAAAATTGCCGACATCAATAACGGATTTGCCGACAGAACTTTTGAAAGGGGGGTGTCAACCCCCCCCCCCCCTCTAGGGGCGGCCCTTGGCCAGATTATCCAATAGGCACAGTGGGCACTGTGCCTGGGGCCCAAGAAAAATTCTGAGCATACAAAACATGTGAGGGCCTACGAAAACACCAATGTGCCATAAAACACACACTCCCACGTACACAAGTGTGTATTTTTTTTTGTCAATTGATCATGAGTAATCCGTATTGGTATTGACGTAATACTTTATGATCACGGATTCTCACTAGAAAAGCTTTTCAAGAAACATGAGCACATTTTCACAGGTTTACGTACTAATCTTTAAGATTTGTTTTTGTCTGGCCAAGTTGTTCCCAATTTCACAAAAGTCACACAAAGAAGATTTGATAATAATTCACCTTGAGGCTTTACAAACGTGCTTTACGTTGCGGAAAATACCTTGGGGGAACCAACATCGTCACGCTGCTTAAATAATGTTTACGTGGGCAACTAAACAAATATGTAATCTTGGGGGGAAATCACTCTGTTTTGCTGAAGGCCAAGTGCTGAAATTTGAAAAAAAACTGGCCTCGAATTTTGATGAGGAAGTGTGATGGGGGACGAGTCCACCAGATTATAGGCTGATAATTGTACGTCCGGTGGCATTGGGGAACTGGGGGATTGTATTTAACAGTCGAAATGAGTTCGATGGAGATTTGCCGTAAACAGGGGGAAAAGGGAAAAACTGAGTCATTCAATAGTTCACTTTAAAGATGCATATTCGGTCAGTTTTACATATTTCAGATCCCTGCAAGTGATGAATCATGATTTGATATCGGGACACACGCCAGTTTCAGACGTGAGCACACACACATATCAGTCCTGGCG